ACACACACACACACACACACACACACACACACACACACACACACACAATTTTTGCAGGGCATGGCAGCTCACTCCAGTAGTCCAGCACTTCTGAAGTTAACTCAGGAGGATGACAGTGAGTCTGAGTACAGCCTGAGCTATACAGAGTTCCAGGACAGCCTGGGCTACAGTGAGAGCTCATACTGTAAGTCAGGGGGCAAAGGAGTTCTTTCTTAGGCATGCCTTTCAGTGACCTAAGGCCCTCCCAGGGACCCTTCTTTCAAAGGGTTCTACCACCTCCTAATATGTCTTCTCTGGAAGCCAAGATTAACTTTGCCTCTGGCTGAAAACTTCAAGCCCAGTCGACTAGGCCATGTAAGGTCAGAGGCAAAGTTAATCTAGGCTGAAAGGCACTTATTTTGAAGATTCAGACCAAGCAAACGGTTTTACCTCAAACTCCTGATGCATCTGTTCATGCCTCCCAAATGCTAGATTACACATGTGTCTCCCTCTTCTAGCTAGTTCACAAACTCCCTTTTCTTACCTTACAGTTCCATAATGAAAATGGATTTTGAGTGTCTTGGTAAATATCAGATAACAAAAGTCTGGGGGAGTATTATTTGTAACACAATCAGAATATGTACAAGCAAAACAACGGTCCAAATAATGTTTAACTTCCTGCCTGTCCACCTCGCTTCTACATACCTTTGCAAGAACAACACACAGGACTGTAAACAACCTGGATACACTCCAGGGTTTTCTCACCGTGGCCTCCTATCATCCCTAACCTCTCTGCCTCCCGTGTTCTCACCTAAGTATAAAGTGCTATAGTTACACTGTACCTAGGTGCCGAGGCTCAAGTCATCCTGCTGGGCCTGGTGGTGTTAGAGAACATGCGCTCCTGGGCAGGCTGGAGAGATGGCTTAAGTGATTAAGAGCACATACTGCGGTTTGAAATGACCCCAATTCAGTTTCCAGCACCCACGGCCGGTGGCTCGCAACTCTCTGAAATTCCAGCTCTGGGGAATCTCACACCATCTTCTGGCCTCTGTGGATAACTGCACTGACATGTCCACAAGCCCCTTCACTGACACATACGTGTAGCCAAAAAATAAAATGAAAACTTTTAAGTGGAAGAACACGAGCACTGAAATGAAACTGCTGGGGCTAACCCCACCCTCTGCCTCTTGTCTGTGTGACACATGACTGAGCATCATCAGGGCAGTTCCCATTACTTCATATATTGCCTTCTTTCATTAGGTGAAAAGGGTATCATTTCCACACACCATCTAACTGGTCAGTAGCTGATGCTATTCTGCTGCACATTTGGACTCTCCCATGTATCTCTGATGCTGGAAAGGACAAGAGAGACCCTTTATGGCACATTCAGACACCCATTCGCCAGGCAGGCAGGCAGGCATTCTGTCTCTGAGCTAGAGTACCCCACATTCAGTCTCTTCCTAAGAAACTAGCTGAGAAGGATTTTAGGCAGAGGTTTTCCTAAAGTAAAATTCTAAAATTTTATATAAAACGCAATATTAAATTTGGAGCAATAGAACTGATTTTAAGAAAAGTTTTTTTTTTTTCTCCTTGTTGGTTTTTAGAGACAAGAGTTTTTCTGTGTAGCCTTGCCTGTCCTAGAACTCTATAGACCAGGCTGGTTTCAAACTTGCAGAGGTCTGCCTGCCCCTGCCTCCTGACCATACACTCTTAGATCATACACTGACAACCTCAGGAGCCCTTCTAACCACCTGACTCAAAAAGTATTTCTTTAAAAGTTTGAAATTATAATTCTCAACACTTGCAAATGATTGTAACATCTATTCTCCAAATTGGAAACATTCAGATTAATCTAATATACATATATACATACTTGGTTTTTTTCAGGACAGGGTTTCTCCTTGTAGCCTTGGCTGTTCTGAACTCACTTTGTAGCCCAAACTCACAGTGATCCACCTACCTCAGCCTCCATGAGTGTTGGGAGTACTACTACACTCACCTGAATCTAGTGTATTTTTAACCCAACAATATGTCATAAGATAATATTACTCTCGTTCTTTTTTTGAGACAGGGCCTCACTATGTAGTCCCGCGTGGATTGAGGTTTCCTATGTGGCCCAAGTCGACCTTAAGCTCACAGATACTGCCCCCCACTCTCCCATCCCCCACCCCTGCCTCTGCCTTCTGAGTGTTGAGATTAAATATGGGCACCACTATGGTGAGCTAGTTTTGAATTCTTATATTACCAGATAATTTAAGGCAAATGCAGTGCTTTTAAACTTTCAGCTGGATTATAATAGTTACATTTTTGACTTCTTAAGGTCATTTGATTTATTTTCTGTGTTCTCTGTTGCTGTCTCAGCTATAGATGGAGCGATTTTGCCTTCAAATTCCCCATGATTATCAAACGGCAGAGGTGTAATCAGAGACTTCTTTTTCTCTTTAAGGTGACTGCTGGTTTTCTGCAGTGAAGTCAAAATGAAAAAGTAAGTGCTCTTCCTACAGGCAAAATTCTGTATATAAAGGACAAAAATTAATGTCTCTCTCTATACACACACAAACACAGAGAGAGAGAGGAGAGAGAGACAGAGAATTATTGTGTAAGGCAATAATGAACAATTTAAAAATTAGAGAATGAAAACATACATTAAAATTTCTAAAGAACTTTGTGCCTTTGCTGTGTGACCTATGTGACTCTTTGTCTATCTATTTAATAAAGATAATACACTGATCATTGTTCAGGAGCCCTTCTAACTAAATTTTTTAGAACTTAAGGGCAGACCTATATAATTGCTGCAGACTCATTCCCTCTGAATTGAAACCTTCCTCCCTGAAGAGAGGAGAAGTCATAAGACAGGAAACCCACGAAACTTATAAGACGTAGGACATTGAGAAAGTAAAGATTTTCAAGGTCCCTCCTCAAGCTATAGATGAGATTCTTTCATGGAGCCCCCTGCAGGTTGGGGAGGGAACCTCAGCGATGCAGCTTTTCTGAGTCGTCACTTCTGCTGGTTGGTGGTGTAAAAGCTGCCGCTGGGTTATGCATGCTTTCACAAGTACCCCAAATGAAATCATTGGTTCACCCGTCTTTTGATCTGTTGCTGGTTCTCCACCTGGGGTGACCCGAAAAGAGTCTTTTTCTGTCTGTAAAGGGACCAATAGAATCAAACCTTCACACTTGCCTCTGATTTGGAAGAAAGAATAAAATAAAAGGACAAGGTTGCAGAAAGACACACATGGTATATACTCACTTATAAGTGGACAGTAGACATATAACATAGGATAAGCATACTAAAATCTGTACTCCGAAAGAAGCTAAACAAGGAGGAGGACCCTAGGGAAGATGCTCAATCCCCATTCAGAAGGGCAAACGGGATAGAAATCACAAGCGAGAGAAAACAGGGAACAGGACAGAAGCCTACCACGGAGGGCCTCTGAAAGACTCTACTGATCAGAGTATCGAAGCAGACGCTAAGACTCATAGCCAAACTTTGGGCAGAGTTCAGGGAATCTTGTGGAAGAAGCAGGAGATAGAAAGACCTGGAGGGGACAGGAGCTCCAAAAGGAGAGCAACAGAGCAAAAAACCTGGGTCCAGGGGGACTGCAGAGACTGATGCTCAACCAAGGAACATGCATGGAGAGGACCTAGAACCCCTGCTCAGATATGGTCCATAGGCAGCTCAGTCTCCAATTGGGTTCCCTAGTAAGGGGAGCAGGGGCTGTCTCTGACATGAACTCAGTGGCTGGCTCTTCGATCATCTGGGGGGGGGGGATGGGAAAGGAACAACCTTACAAGGACACAGAGGAAGACAATGCAGTCAGTCCTGATGAGACCTGATAGGCTAGGATCAGATAGGAGGGGAGGAGGACCTCCCCTAACAGTGGACTAGAGGAGGAGCATAGGGGGACAAGGAGGAGGGAGAGGGGACTAGAAGGTGTTGAGGGAGGGGGGCTACAGCCAGGATATACAATGAATAAATTGTAATAAATCATAATTTAAAATATAAACAATGATTTAAAAAATAAAATAAAATAAGGACTTGGTATTTGTCAGAGCAGGGAGGATTCTGTGGGAAGGGAGCAGACACTAGCTGGATCTGTTAAAGAGTCCTGCCTGGGAACCGGAGACTTGGAACTTAGGAGGAAAGCTTAAAGAGTGAAAAGAGAGTGATATAAACGTGAGAGAAGACAGCCCTCAGGTCTGAGTGTTACCACAGAAGAAGGAAAACCCATGGTTCGGCACTCAGATGGGGCCCTGGTAGGGACAGTGCAGGAAACTATGAACAGCCTCCACCGGGAGAGACTGCTAGATGAGAAGAGCCTCTCACTGTTAGCTTTTGAGGTGAAGAGAGACAGAGTGGGTGAGATTGAGTGCAGTAGAAGCAGAGAGAATGAGGAACAGTACTGCTCATTCCTCCTTCAGACAAAGGCTGAAGGATCTGAGGAAATCCGAGGGAAGCAGGCTCCCAACGAACTGTCACCTACAAGCCAGTTATTGCTGGCTCAGGTGCCCGTATGTCAGGCATGACTGAGGGAAATGTAATTTTCAGAGCTACTTTTTGGTGCCCGTTCCACAAAGCTGGATGGGAATGGGCATCAAATACTGACTTGGGTCTTCAATGGCCATGGTGAGCTCTATGGGAGGATGAGATCTTTCTGAGGAAGGAGGGCTCAGGCAGATCTGAATGCCTCGCACTGGCAGATGGAATCATACGGTTCTAAAACCCCCAGGATGAAAACAGAGATGATTGGACCTGTCCAGGTTACTTCAAAGCAGAGGTGGTGAGAGTCCTGTCAAGCCGGAGTCCCTGGTGGGAGAGGGGGGGGGGGGGGGTTTGCCAGAAATCCAAATTCTGTGCTTCTGAGTCTTTGGAAGGTTTAAAGACTGGATGGCAATTCACCAGCGTGGAAGGAGCAAAATACAGGGACTACTGGCTATCCCCCCTTTAATCCTTTTATGTGGAGGAAGCAGATATCCTTTTAGGGTACTCAAGGCTACTAGCACACAGTGATGGCAGGGTCTGCATTGAACTGTGGATTTGTTGGTTCCTGACTAATGTGCAAAACACTTGTGTTTCAGTGGATACTGGAGCTGAGTGTATGTAAGTTCATGAAAACTCCCCCAAAGAACCACGGGCAATGGCCAGCAGTGCATGGAGGTAGGGATTGGAACAGTATGAGCTGACATGATTATGCTTGTCCTGGGGGTGGGCAGTTTTTTTTTTTTTTTTTTTTTCAAAGAGAGTATGTTGTTTGTATTTCTTCCCTGAAAGAAAGTACACCGGGGTGGAGATTTTTCACTTAGCCCGGGGCTCTTTAACCATTTAGGCATCACTAATGGAGAGGTGAGTCCTTCTTGGAGCTTGTCACTGTCACGCAGGGAGCCAGCTCCACTTAAGTGGTGGGAACGCTAGGTCAACACTTGCGTGGATACCTTTGGCCCTGTACCGTGGAAATTAGTGTGATCTGGCTTCGCTGAACCGTTGTGGGTGGGAGGATGTACTGTGGACCTACAGCAGCGGCAGCACCCCAGGATGAATAGGCCAGATGTCTCTTGGGGGATGACAACGGATAAGGGAAAGCTGGGTGAGGCAGCATCTCCACCCATGTTGCTGTATTCAGCGTTACCTTTCTGACAGAACGATTGGTTGAAGTGTTGGAATCTCTTCCTCACTGTATTAAACCTTGCTAACGTTAAAAAAATAAATCCCTTCATCTTTAAATCCCAAGACTAGGTATTGCTTGGAATGTATGCAAAAAAAAAAAAGCCTTTCTAATTCTATAATGCTAATTATTGAGAGTTGTACAGATTTGTTAACCATTGTGGATGAACAGTAGGAATATCAGTGAAAGAGCTGAAAGAAGACACTCCTTGAGTTGAAAAGACACTTCCGGGAACAAGGCTGTTAGGGGATGGCCCCAGTGTAAGCGCTGTGTTTCCTCCCTATGAGTTATTGCCCGTGGAGGTCCCTGAGACCACTAAAGCTACAAGGCTATTGCCAGTACTGCTGATTGCTTGTCAGAAACGAGTTAGGGTAAGACCCTGTTGCTGGAGATGTCACATACTTTGATTGCAGGACATGGAGAAATTGCACGGAGACTAAGCTGGAGGAGTACTTCCTGCTGGATGGCTGTTGGTGCTATGGGTGGTTGTGAGCCTGTAGTATACACTTTGAAAGGAATTTCCAGGGAACACAAATCAAGTTGCTCACATAAGCAGTCACTCTAGTGTTTGGGAACTCTTGTCTTTGTTACTGTTTTGTCTTGACTAGTTTAGTTTACTTTGTTTCTATCTATTTAGTTTACCTTGTTTCTATATATTATTTGTAATTTAGTAACAATGGCAAAAGTTACCTTTGCCTTTTTAAGGTTTATTTATTTTTTAAGAATGTTATGCATTATATTTTGATTAGATTCTTTTCCCTTATCCAACTCCTCCCAGATCTGCTCCCCTCCCCTGACTTGTCCAGAGCATGAGGCCTACTAAGGAGTATGGTTGTTATACCCAGTGTCACTCCATTGAAGAAAACTTATTTTCCCCCCTCTTCCAGAAGCAATTGCTAATATCTTATTGATTAGGTGTGGGACTTGGAGCTATTCATATATACACTAAAGTAATTTTGTATATAGTTAGCATATTGTTAACAAATATGGATAGCCCATATTTGTTGGTGTTTGGGAGGTAGCACTTCAGGGTTTCTCTTTGTAGCCTTGGCTGTCCTGGACTTACTCTGTAGACCTCGAACTCACAGAGTTCTACCTGCCTCTGCCTCCTTGAGTGCTGGGATTACACAGTGTGTTCCATCATGCCCACTGGGAGATAGCACTTTTAAAAGCAGATTTGATATATGTGTGGCCTGCCAGGAGCCAAAGCTATCTACTGAAGCCAAAGTCAAACAGTGAGCCAAAGCTATCTAGTGGAGACAAAGATAGTTATTGAAGCCAAAGCCAAGTAGAGAGCAAAGGTCATTTAGTGGAGACCTAAAGCTATTTAGTGAAAGAGTTATCTAAGACCCTAAATCATGGGTGATAGACTGTGAGGACATCCGTCTGTTAGTTTTAGAGCATCCGTGAGATAGCTTAAGAAGACATCCTTACGGCATCTTACAGGTGCAATATTTAACCCATGAAAGCACTCTTCCTATTTCCTGCAGCAGTAGATTAACCTTCCCCCTTTCCTGCCTTCTCCCTATATAAGTTGGGTAAAAATTTCTAAGGCTTCTAACGGAAGCCTTGATCAGATGAACAGACTTGGCTTTCATTTTTGTGTCTCTTGTTCCTTTTCCCCCCATTCTTTCCAATCTCTCCACCTTAGGAACCCCGTTGAAGCCCCGCGGGTTGGGGCAGTGGCCTAACACATGGCAGCTACCTAGAAGTGATTTTATATAGTTCATTTTTATCATTGTCGTTTTTATTTTTTGTCCATTTCTGTGGTACTGGGGTCAGCTCTCTACCATTGAGTCATATCCTTGGTAATTTAATGAATATTTTTATTATCTTAGGTATATGACTTTCAATTGGTAAGGATTTGTTTCTAACATGCTCATTTATGTCTTCATGTTAATGAATCATTAATTACAAAGTAAAAATTGCATCTGAAATATTAACTTTTTAACGAGTACATTATCCCTAGCTTCTACTTCACACACCTTTGCTCTGATGGCTGCAATGATCTTTTCATTCTCCTCCAGGACATCTAACTTCTCCAGGATTCTTTCTGTCATCCTCTGTCAATAAATTTCTGTTTGAAAGGGAGTAAGAAGAAATATCCTATTCAATTCGGATCCAAACACATGATTATTTAGGCAGTAGGGGAAGGATCCTTTCTGTCATTGTTTCCAGGTACACTTCAGAGCTGTATTGCTCATGGAATCAGTCACACAATTACAAATGTACTCAATTGCTTTTTAATAGGAACCTCCCTCTTGTGACATGAGAGCCAGATGTGGCTTCCCCTGGAAGCAGGCCTGTGTGACCAGACATCTGTTCTCTGCTGTCATGATATAATTTTAATGAGAGGAATGCAAAGGCCTCACCTTCGTACAGTTAAGTAATTCAAATTGGTCCATCGGTGCGTAGAGCCTAGAGGCAGCTAGTCTCAAAGTCTATTTGACTGGGGGTCAACTGACGCAGGTGAGCTGGATGGACATCAAGATCAGGTCTAATTCGTCTCCATTTTCAGATGGGTAAACTGAAGGTCACACAGAACTATAGCAGTTCAGTGCAAATGCTTGCCAGTAGAAGAGAGGCAAGAACACAGGAGTCCTGGGGGCTAGAGAGATGGCTCAGTGGTTAAGGCACTTGGCACAGAAGTGTGAGTGCCTGAGTTCTAAATCCTTAGATCCCAGGTGAATACTGGGGATGTGTGGCTAACCACCCATAAGTCAAAACCAGGAAGGTGAAATTAGGTAATCCTCAGAGCATGCTGGCCTGTTGATGAGGTCTGACCTTGACTCAGAGATTTTTTTTTTCTTTCAAGAAATAAGGCAGTTGGCTCCTGGTATCAATTTCTAGCTTCCACACACGTACTCACACAGATGTACTACTCCAACATGCATCCATGCACAAGTGAACATGCTAACACACAAACACACACATACACACACACTTAAACAAGAAAATGGAGAAAAATGAATGAAGGATTGGTAACCCAGTGCTCCCTCTTACTTTGATTTTTAAATTTTGGGCAGATGATTGCATGTTTCTGCTCAGTGAATTGAATGAAATGCAGCGGCACTTAAGTGTAAAAATGACCGCGGCTCACCGGAAGTAGTGAACTCACCAGTGGTTTTAACCAACACCAGTCAGTGTCAACACTGAACTTCCTTCCAGTTCAAAAAGTTCTTCCTGTATTATACTGGACACTCTCTAGTCAATATTACAAAAGACAGCCATGGCTGAAAAGCAAGGATTTGGCTTCATACTCTTTGGTACTTCATTCCTTTTAACTCTCTTCTACTCTTCCTTTACCGAATATTCTACCAAGTATGAATTCTCTGTGTGTAAAATCTCTATACATATCAGATAGGATAAAGTCAGATCTTTTGAGACTCAGATTCATTTCTGTGTGGGTGGACTCTGATAATTATCCAGTCATGTAGCAGACGCTGGAACTGAAGCATTCTGAGTGCAGATGGGAGCCTGGAAAGGACGTTCTTCATCTTGTTGGGATAAGATCTAAAAATGGTGAAGATGTGTGTGTGTGTGTGTGTGTGTGTGTGTGTGTGTGTGTGTGTGTGATGTATTCACAATATGCACAAGAGTGCCAAAGGAGGATGTTAAGTGTCCTGCTCTGTCATGTCTTGCATTAGTCCCTTGATACAGAAGCTGTCACTGTAACTAGACCTGGAGAGTAAGCCTTGCTGAGTGCCCTAGTGCTGACTTTTTATATGCTGGAGATTTGAACTCAGGTTCTCATGGCTGCCTAGCAAGGGTTTTTGCCATTGACCATCTCTCCATCCTCCAAACTTGATTTTTAAATGTTGAGCCTCTGGGCCTCATGTGGATCTGTTTCACCCAAGAGGGAACTCGTCTCCATTTCTTCAGTGAAACCCACACACCTCATCCCTTCTCTTTACACCCTCTGTTTGTGGAAATTGTTACCCTGCCTTAAGATACTGTCCAAGCACAGAGTTTTGACGCTTCCTCTAGTTCCTTCCCCGTCTCTATCTCAGCCTACTCTGTGCCACCCAGCGGATATTAGATGCTTTTCTTTTGTTGTAACAAAATACCTCAGACTGAACACTTTATGAAGAAGAGAGAGTTGCTTATTTAGGCCATAGTTTCGGAGCTGAAGTCTAAGATCTGGATGTTTCATTTGTTCATCTCTGAGTGAGACCTTGTGGCATATGGTTTCAGAGTGACGACAGGAGGTACAGTACCCATGATGGCAGGCAGAAATCCAGAATGCAGGCAAGATCTAGCTTAAATATGTTTGCCCCACTGAGAGATCCAACTGGTCCCAGTCCCCCTCCGCCCAGTGACCTCATTACCTCTGACATCACAATACTGGGGGCCAAGTTTTCAATAAATGAACCATCAGGGAGGATGTCCTTAGAGAAGAGACTATGTCCAAACCAATGCACCAATGTGACAAAGAACTGATGCTGAGAAAATTCTGGGCCACAGGGACACAGACAGACAGCAGGCCTTCGCTATATAAGCTCATAACTTCCGGAGGGAGAGGCAGGTCTCACCAACTGTGTGCTAATACACACAAGCTTATGCTGCTGCAGGTGGGAGAGGGAGGCCTAGATCCAGGTGTCAGCGCATTGTGGATGCGGCAAGCTTTAAGGGTCTCCCGCAGGAAGGCAGGGAGAATATTTTAGAAGAGACAGTTTATCTAGACACTACATATTTTCTTTTTAGAAAAAGGTCATTTTGCATCTGAAAAAAACAAGGACAGAATTTTGGTTTCTGTTTCCATCACAGAGGTGGAGACAGAATATTCTCGGGGAGAAATAGGAAGGTGAATTGGCACATTGAAGAGATTGAGTTTCCTAGCTGGGGAAAGGTACAAATGATACAACGAACACCAAGATCTATCTGCTGCTTTACTTATGCTAAGAAAAAAAGCAGGTCTCTTTAGAGAAGGAGTTCTCAAACAGGAGTTCCAACACCCTTGGGGTCTTATATCAGAAACCCTGTGGATTGATTAGGTATTTACATTATGATTCTTAACAGTAGCAAAATTATGGTTATAAAGTAGCTATGACAATAACTTTATGGTTGGGGGTCACCACAACATGAAAAACTGTATTAAAGGGTCACAGTGTTGGGAAGTTGAGAACCGCTGCTGTAAAGGCTTCTGATACATGGATTAGCTAGGCCATGAGCTAACTTAATGACAGCCAGTTTGAACAGGGCTCAAAGTGTCCTGTGTCTCTTACCTTTAGCATCCTCCCATCTTCAATGGGCCAATCAGCAAGGTGAGGAACAACATGCCTCATCATTTTATACATGTGCTGCTGTGGCAGGAAAAAAGATGCTCATGATGACCACATGATTTGCTGGCTCATCTTTCCTCAATTGCTATGTTTGTTTTTTAAAAACTACAACCTGTACTTTAGGGCTCTAATAGCCTGCATCTTCTTTGTTCCAAATCTACCACCATAAGGCTTCTAATTAAGTCAGCCCCTAGGTCATCAGGGTCACTGTCTATCTTATGAACTAATGCATACTCTTTTTTTTTTTTTTTTGCTTTTATATTAACTGAATTTTTATAAATTTGTGAATCTTGATTATGCTTTTCTATGGAAATTCTTGCTTTTCTTGGTTTCCTACCTCCCTGGAAGATTCCTTACCAACATCTTCAGGCATCTCCTCAAATACTAGTGTCCCCAAGGGCTACACCATGTTTCCCATTGCTGCATAGTCTCCCAAGACAACCCCTAAACCCACCGCTTCATTAACTTCCAGCGAATTCTCCCTTCCTAGTTCCCAAGCCTGTGTATACCGCTCAGTGAATTAACTGTTCCCCAAGTAGCACAAGTGTGGGTTTAAGAGAAATTCCTTCCCCACAACCAAGATGTTCTTCTAACCCTTTGATCACATCAGCATCTCTCATGATTCTGGCTCACACACTGGGGTACCCTAGCAGTCCTCCTCAGCCATGCCACAGAATGAGTTGAAAACACGGATCTGCTCAGACTTCCAAAGTCAAAACTCAGGGGGTGGAGATTAGGACTTCTCTCACTCTCCTTCTGGGAACTGAAATATGCTAGGCAAGGACTTGGCTGCCGAGTCTCCAGTCTAGGCTTCTACTGAGGGAGTGTGGGGTGTGCTGGCGTCAAGCATTCTCAGCACGCACTGCATAGATTATTGACTTATGCACTCTGGTTATCTCTTTTTAAGTGTTATTCTGAGGCAGGTCTTCTCCAAATCTGGATTCGCCTTTTGCTTTACTGGAGAAACCCCATTACCTCTCATGTAAAAATACACAATCACTTTATCTGGCAGAGGCTCCGCCCTAAGTTTCGTCTTAGCTTTTCCTATTTTATCCATGTAGCCTCAGTTTAGGAGTCTGTAACTTGTTTAGATTGCTGCAATAGTTTACAATTTCCTCTCTCTATTTGATGAATTCAATCTATTCTTCATAGACTTCAAGCGTTTTAAGGAAAAAAATGGGATTTGTCTTCCTGTTTAAAGCTTCACTTCCTTCAAAAAAGTATTAAACAACACACAGCTCCTTGATTGTGTTATGCAAGGCCCAGAGCGTGGTCCTGAGTTTAGCATCACGTGATCACGCACACTGGCTTCCACAGCCACGAGGAACAATTGTGGCTTCTCATGTGTGCTCCTCCTTTTTTGCTTGTTATTTCACTTGAATGTTCTCTGTGTGTAGGGCCGGTCTTCTGCTGCATGCATTCCTAACTTCTCTTCATCAAGCAACCCCTCTACTGGAGGTCCCTGTATACCACATTTTGAACAGCAATGTCTGTGTGCAGAAGAAAGCCTGGTGGCTACCCCCTTGCACCATGCATTTCCTGAAGGCAGGAACCACATCTAATCGCTCTCTGAGTCTCTAATACCCTCACAACTTGATGAAGTGGTTAACTAGCAGGGAGCAAACGCACAGCTGTGAATGCCATGGCTGCCTTTGGCCTCCAGCAAGGCTGGAGCCTTTGGCAGCACTCTCCCGAGGTTCTTCAGGATGAAGCCATCACAGGCTTCATTGAGACCAATGGTTCTCAATCTTCCTAACGCTGCGACCCTTTAGTACAGT